AAAAAAATTAAGTTTTTCAAAAAAGAAGAAAAAGTATTTTTTAACTAAATTAATTATAATATATCTAAAATTATTAATAAAAAATATATTCTTACAATTAGAAACGAATGATCGAATGTCATTTTTGTTATTTTCGTTTCGCAACCCTTTTGAGTTGTGACAATTTTGATATCTTACAAAATTATAATAAATACTAAATAATTTATCAAAAGTGATATAACTTGAAATATCGCAACAGTTCATATTTACGTTAATCAGTTAACTGACTAAATTCAAAATAAATAAATTTCTTCTTCAAATTTCGATTAACATAACTATCTTAACTCTAATAGCGTTTTCGAGTGCAGGTTTGAACTCAACCCAGTTTGGTTAACATAAATAAAAGTACCATGAGAAAGAGATCTCATCTAATCAAAAATCAAAGTGAAGTACGTGACGTTATTAATCCGACTGAAAAAATAAACGCTATAAATGTTTTCTGTAGAAGACTCCTTTTTATTTACAAAAACGGCAGTACGCAAAATGTGTCATTCTTGTATAAGGTATTATGATTTCTTTAAAAATCTTCAGCACGATACAAGTATCTGTCTGATGGATAAACTGAAATTAAAGTTATTGGTTTACTTTTGATGATTGATAGAGGAATCTCTTTACCTAACTCATTCAAAGTAATAACTCGAAAACTATATTTTCTTAGTTTTGTGTGTGTGTGTGTTATTTTTGAAGTAAAAAACAATATGTTATTCTAAATCTTATATTGCAAAACTTTTAAAAAAATCTATCAAAATTCTTATCGAAATATCACGCTGGCTAATCTATTGTCGAAAGCGATCATTGCCGAAAACTATGAAAGACATATGATCCTTAACAATCAAATTTCAACATTTTTATAAAACCTCGTTGATATGCCTTCAGGATCTTACTTACCTGGCGTACTTGTCGTGGCGATAGCGGCAGTGGTATAAGGCGGTTGGCCCATCTGTGCGTGACCGGCTAAGTGTCGGCCGTATCCGTTTTGCAGCCCCAGGCCATGCTGTTGGGGATGTTGGGAGAGGATACCGTGGAGCAGACGAGTCCCTGTGCTACTAGTAGTCGTCGCGCTGGTGGATCCCGGCTCCACTTTTACGCTTGCGAGGCCTAGCTGTTCTTTCTCGCTCGGGTCGTGCGGTTGGACTTCCCTGGTGTCCACTGTAACAAAAACAACAAGAAGCATCGTTTAGATAAATAGATTAATCTTGCTTAGCTTGATATTATACGAAAACATTAGACAAGTTATTGTGAGTAAACGATAAAATAAATGAAATGTTGATCGAAAATTGTAACAGAGTAGATAGAAATAAAAGACAAACTAATTTTACTACCTATTATTTCATCTCAAGCAATAAATATAAAGAAAATTGTGTGTTTTTATTATATTAGAAAATATAAAAAAAATAGAATATTAGAAAATTAGAACAAATATAAGAACAAAGTTTCCATGTGTATTTCAATGAAAATCGTTTTCGAATTTACACTAAAATTGCAAATGAATTTATTAAACAAAGCTTTTGTTTTTACGTTTCTAAATTTTCTAGTTCGTCCTAGTTTATTCTGTCTATAAAATATCGTATTACATTACAGAAAATTCCAAACGATAATTTTACTTGACATTCACCATAGTGAAATGTGTCAGATATTAGTCACGTAAACATCAAAAGTAACGCTAACAACAAATTGTTACTTTAGAAATTAAAGTACAGCATAGTTTTCATTCGCTATGCCACCAGAGCATTCGTGCAAGCGTGAATTGTGGAGACTCTGTCATGGAGTGAAACACCGATTTCTCATTAATGAAAAATAACGTTCCGCGAGATAAGTCACTTGTTATAATTCGTATTGCATCGCGCGTTGCTCGATCCAGATTAATTGCTGAATCCAGTTCATCCGTTGGAAGATAAACATATCTTCTCCATGGTATAATTAAGCGTAGTCATAGGCGGATAAACATTCTCACGAGGAGAAGAACGACAGAAGGAGAAGGGAAAAAAAGTCGTGGCTCGGGAGGCGTTCTCGAGGAACTCGCTCTGGCTGCCGAGAGGAAGTGAAAGCCGGCGTCTCTCCTTGACCCACTGCAACGTTTCTACCTTCCTTTCAGGCGGTGCCGAGTCGCGGCGGCTTCATTAAGCAATTTCTCGCGGCAGCGGGCCCGAAAAATCCGCCATGGAAAATGGCGATCGACCAATGCGATTCGACTGACAATAAGACGGTCTTCTTGCGAATTCCCTCGATCTTCCTGCGCAAGAATTCTTTGACTCCTCGCTTTCGAAAGATCGATGAAAATTGGGCAACATGAATCTCTCAGTGGTGCACGTGTCTCGCATCGGAGTTATAATATTATGAAGAAATATTACAGAGATATTCGATGTCTACTGAAACTTGTGATCAATCCAAATAAACCCGTTTTGTTTAATCAATATTTATGGGAAGCATCGAACTCTACACCGTGTCTACATCGTTGTAACTACTTGTTTACGTTGTAAATACTTGTATGAATTTATGAGTCCTCGCAAATATAATCTCAAATATATTCTCTAATAATTCTAAATATAATCTAAATATAATCTACAATTATATACATGTGTGTGTATATATATATGTATATATATATATGTAGGTATATAAAACTGCGTAACATTTCATTTTTATTATTGCTTGTCATAATAATGCTGCTTGATAAAAAAAGATCAAGTTTGCGAGATAAAAATTTTCAACGATTAGAAATATTCATCAGAATAAATAATGATATGATGCACGAATCGAATCGATCGCTAGGAGATCAACAAAATCGTGTAAAAGTCGACATTTAATACGCCACGGCAGTGCAGTTGATTACAAGTTAGCATTTCCATGAATAATTTTCGCCTCCGCTATAGAAATTGCGTATCTCCGTAACTTCGTAGAGTCGCAACATCGTAATAATTATGGATGCGAAATGCAGGGTCTACAATATAAGTCGTAGCGTAGAATCTTAGAAAAGTCGTAGAAAATTAACTAATCACAGTCCAATATGAGAAGAATAATCGACTATGATTGGTTAATTTTCTACGACTTAAGACTCTGCGACCGCTACGACTTCTATTGTAGACCCCGCATTACTCGCCACGGAAACAAAGAATGCAATATTCTCGAATAGACCCTTTCAATTGTTACTATACAGTACTTACAATGAAAAAAAATGTTTTGTATAATAAGGAAATAATGAATAATTGTGTAATAATTAAAAAATCATGATTGTCAATTTTATTATTTAACCCGGGAGTAATCACTTTATTTTTCTTACGTAAACGATCACCTGCGGCACTTTACACACTTTACTAATTAAAATCACTATTATTAACAACATATTGTATATTATATTGATTGTTTTTCGATTTAATAGTATTTGAGAACATTACGGATATGGATTTACTCATAATTTTTTGAAAAAAGTAAGTAAAAATCAAATAAATATTACAAACTGAATTATTATAATATAATAGTATTTCCAGAAAATAAAAATATTAATTCATAAAACATTTTTTTATTGTAGATTTTCGATGGAATTGCATATTTAAAGATTTGTTATAAATAGTTATTTAAAAAAGAAAGAGAATATGTTAAACAATATTTATTTTACATTTCAACAATTCACATTTTTTTACCTGTGGTATAAAAACACACTGAGAGAAATAAGTTTGTGTAGGAACCAAAAAAGGGATAACAAATGTGATGGTTTGGTAAAAAAATGGATCGATCAATTACTATTGCGAATAATTTCTCATTATTCATTAATGTATATACAACAAATAATACACGATTTATGATATAAATTAAGATAATCAGTATTGCTAGCAAATAAAAGTCTATCTAAAAATAGGTTAGGTTTTATGTAAATTGCTTCTATTACTAATAACTGTTTGGAATAGCAGACTAGCATCAATCACAACAAATTAATTTGTTGTCACTATAGAACAAATCATTTATTAAAGGTATTGGTGACTTGGTAAATTAACAAAAGTGGTAAATTAACTTTTCTCTCAGTGTATCCCCTGGAGACTATTCCTTATTTAAACATTGCGTTACATTATGTTTGATCAATTACTATAATTTTAGATAAAGTAAAAATTTAATTGCATTGAAACCATAATGCGTTTATACGTATGAAAATCAGGCATATTCGTATTGAACGTGACTACGGCGCAAATCAATTATTATATTGACGTCACTGCAGAACATCGATTCGTGAATCGACTCAGTAATTACACGATCGTGCCCATAAAAAAAAATTAAATTTAGCACCAGGTGACAAATTAATCAGAGGTTGTATCTCCTATGTGATGTTTGTATAAGCTTACCATTACTAAATTATATCCACTCATAAATTTTTTTTTGTTTCCAATAAAACAGCACGCCATTGCGAATCATCGATTGATACTAAACGCGAGTTGCATTCTTTTCAATTGAAGAATGTATTCGTAATATTTATTTTTAGAGATCCGCAAACAAGTAGGATGCACGTCTTCCAAACACTTCAAGGCTCCCGGAAATAAACGATGCTTCAGCATTGTTTAAAACTATTGTCGCTGCTCTCGCACACCTATGCAGGCGTAACCAGGCCCGACCTAAGTGTGTCGTTTAGCATTTTTATTACGCGCGTAATCCACCATGAAGATTTAATCGATTCTTGAGATTTAACGAACGTACATCTTCATTGCTCGCTGTCTATTCCGGGAAAACGAGGAAGGGATTGAAAACGAAAACACTTGTCTATCGTTGTATCAAAATTAGTTTTTATCATTATTTCTCTGTAATACCACACAAAAAAGACTCTAGATAAACAGCTCTGAAAATAATTTTGTTGGACCATCAAAATAATTATGTAAAATGCTCAAACTGATTGCTAAAATATCAAAACTTTTTGCAGCTTTGCTTATCATGCTTGAAATTTCTACGTAATTATTTTGATAGTCAAACAAAATTATTTCGAATTTGACAACCTGTTAGTAATTCAACTTTTAGTGAATTCCGTTGGATGCATTAGCGCATATTAAAGCCGTTCTATACTGATTTAATCTGTGCAAACACAAAATGCAAATATTTCGAGTTATAAAATATTTTACTTAACACAATAAAATATATTGAGGATTTCATGGTTTAATTCATCCGTTTATATTTATATTAAATATACATTTTTTACATCAATTTGTATACTATGGATTTAATGTCAGTGCACACTGCGTGCATCCAATCGAATTCGCTATTTGACGGATTTAAGGATGAATTTTTGGAAGTTTTTAATTGATTGCTGAGAATCCAAAGAGAATCGAAACGTTCTGACATCATGATTTTCAACAAATCAGTAAAAAAATTTTTTTTTAACCATACCGTACTCTCGTTTGCCTTGTTTGATTCTTATCGTTTTGTTCAATTTTGACAGTCCATCATCAAATTTACATTTTTGAGGTTTCAACAAAATTGTTTTCAAATCTATCTATATCTTGCTAAATTTTTAAATAAATCGTTATTTAAAATTGTACTTTAAAATCGTTCTTTTTCTCTCCGTTCAGTTTTAATTGCCCGTGTTTTTTTCTTAAAATCTTTTTTAAAAGAATACTATTTCCATAGATTTTGTACCAAAATACCATTCCATTTCTTCAATCTTCAGTTTGATCTCGACCGTTAGACCGAGATGAAGCAAAATGTTTGTGACTCTCTCGGCACAATTGCGAGCGGGAGATAAATCTCGCTCGCCTACCGGAAACTTGCAAGAGTGATGCGACCTTGTTTAACCTTGACTCGCCCTCGAATGCCGCGAAGGCAGAATGGTTGTCTATCGCCGCATCGACTGCGAGCGTTTTGAATCGCCGCGTCAGCTCGAATTTTCACAGCGTTTTCACCTTCTGCGCGGTGTTTCCTGCTCGTTTCTCCCGTACGAAGCCAACTTCCGGTGTATCGACATGTCGGCAAGGTTTCACCATAATCACCATTACCATGTCCTGGTTTTCATAGTTTCTAAAAGGCCAAGACTCGTTTTGCTCGCCCGTGAAGTATCATTCTGATCTGATGGCTAAATTATATGCACTGCGCGCAATTTTAATTACCATAACGAGACCATCAAAATTAAGCATGAAATTATCATTAAAACAAGGGAAGTGTTGTACAGAAAAATC